CCAGCCTCTCCCAGCCACTCCTCATCTTTCTCAAGATCTCCAATCTTTCTCAACCCCTAAACACTGGACGCCTGTTTATTTTTGTAGCAGCTACATGTGATAGATGAATGGTAAGACTCATTTTCAGAATGCCTTTTAGAGGGTGTCTGCTGTCATTCTCAATTTTATTCTGTTCAAATGTAGCAGCCCACAGCCATACAGATATATGAGGTGTGAGGGGGAGGTCTGTATTTAACATTGCATGAAGAATGCACATCTAGCCAAAGGGTGAGAGGGATGCTACAGAGTTTGGATGCAGCTGTAGCACGGCTTCTTTCTACATATGCCTTCAGTGTAAAGCCAGTACCAGCTGCATCGCAACCCAGAGCCATACAGATATATGAGGTGTGAGGGGGAGGTCTGTATTTAACATTGCATGAAGAATGCACATCTAGCCAAAGGGTGAGAGGGATGCTACAGAGTTTGGATGCAGCTGTAGCACGGCTTCTTTCTACATATGCCTTCAGTGTAAAGCCAGTACCAGCTGCATCGCAACCCAGAGCCTCTCTCCCTCTTTCCAACATCACTGATCAGGCACAGTTGTCAGGCAGCCATGTTTCAGGGCAAGTGGCTGCATCTGACACATGAATCATGAAGCAGAGGGGCAAGACCAAATCTTGTACTGCACAGGCATGCCTGGCCATGCAAGAGTGCAATACAGACAACAAGCGTGGAAGCCTTTTGCTCAGTCTGTGAGGTGTGGCAGAACTTCCTCCAGCAGATCAGGTGGCTTTCTGAAATGGTCTCTGACTAGGGTGTAACATGCCTTACCCTGAAGGTAAGGTAGGTTATTACACACTATATACTCAAACAGGACTCTGTCAGCTCATGGTTTTTTACCTCCAAAGTTTCTTTCTTTTCTTTTTCCAAGCTGCGAATCTTCAGCAAGTTCTTCTCTTGGGCTGACAATTTCCTTGGATCAGTAAGTGCCAGCAATTCCTCATCAAACTCACCCAGTGATGTTCTGGTCTTGTTTTGACCCAGCTGATGCTCCAGCTCTCGCACCTAGGGAACAATAATGACAACTCATCCAGAGCCTTTACCAGAAGTACAGTGGTCCAGCATCAAAGAGGACATAACGAAAGGGAGCTCAGAGTGTAGCATCATATTACTTCTTGACATTATCATGGTTAACTAACACAGCGCAGTGTCTGTTCTTTCAAATTTAAATCAGTTAGCTGCTAACAAACATTCAGATTTCTAGGGTATCTCTGCAGGGAGGAGATATGACACCAGACCTACAGGAGACTCAGGTCAAGTGGGAGATATATGCGTTCTTTGAGCTGCATATAGAGGCCGGGCAGACCCTTCAAAGCATCTTGAATGCCACTAAACACACATGTGGGCAACAGAGTAGTACCTTGGATCTGCTCTAAAAGGGCAGATACCCACTCACCCACATACATTTAAGCATCTCAGTCTTTAGCAGAATCATAGAATCATAGAATTGTCTAGGTTGGAAAAGACCTTTAAGATCACGAAGTCCAACTGTTAACCTTGCACTGCCAAG